CTCAACCCTCGCACCAGGCCCGTCTGGGACGAAAACGTCCCCGTGCGGGCCCGGTGCCTCCTGGTCCTCGGTCCTGCGATGTAAAAAGGGTTTCGCCTCCACAGTCTTCTGAAACAGACTACAGACAGGGGTTGGCCGAAACGCATCAGACAGGGTTTCATTCCTTTAACAGAACCCCTTTAAAGGTTCGCCTTTGCATCTCTCACCTTGACCCCGGACTTGATGCATGAAGGACTTTTGGAGGGTTCTACCAGCGATGTGGGAAGTCATTTCAGAGAGAGTGCATGAAGTAGTGAGAGATGGTGGCACACGCTGGACATGGGAGACATGCCCTACTTGACCACCCTACACAGTGGTGGGGGTCGAAGAAGGAAGCATGAAGTAGTAGATTCTTGCTACTAGTAGCGGTGCACTTGTTACTAGTAGTACAGAAAATGCACTTAGCATGAAGCAGCTCCGACAGTCCCAAACTGTCGGGTCAAACTCCAAAGTACCGAAGATGGGTCCAGACTTGCCTGAGCCCTAAAACCAGGTACTGTCAGTACTGTATGTTAAAAGGTACTCGGACTCAGCAGATAGACTTGCTTTTGGGCTGCAGCCACGAAGCTTGGTCAAGCTGTGTCACTGTGTTCGCGGGCACCAGTTGTCAAACATGCAGGTCCGTTTTTGAGAAGGTTTGAACTAGATGAGTGAAAGTCCACCAATAAGAAGAACTTTCCTGTCAAAAAATATTGTATGATATATTACTATACAGTTATCTAAATACAGTATACTGTACGTATGGAGGGCCTTTTCTTCGGAGAATACCGGATGGTTCCATGACTGACTGGCTTCATTTTTTCGCTTCGGAACGTATTTTTGGAGAAGAAACCGTCGCTGAGACATTGGAGGTCAGGCCAAAGTGCTTGACACATCGCCGATGGCCAAGGTTAAGGTTCAAGACGTGCACCATGGCTGGAGTGGTTGCAATAGAGACATGGCCGCCGCTAGAGAAAGAAATAATAAGAACCACCAGAAAAAGGGCTCCAGCAAAAGGCATCATGTTCGTAGCCTCCAAACCAGCACAAAGCATTGTTTACTATGATGTTGGTCTGTTCTTTTTGGACACCAATACGAATTTCGATATAACCCAAGCCAAAAAGCAAATCCCAGAACAAACAACGTTGCCCATGAGGGGCTTCGCTGCGGCTTCGCTCGTTCTCGTACTGACTTAGCATGCACTAACTAACTCAACCTTTGAATGCAGCAGGGGAATAGGTATTTCAATAGGGAGATTCCTGTTTGACGAAGAACAAAGACCACAACCCATTGGTGGAGGGCCGTTTCCTTCTTCAAACACACACCGTTACACCCATCTCGGGGGCCGCACGGCCCGACCGAGGCCCATGCCACGGCGTCCGCCGGGCTACTACGAGGAGGTGATCTTGAAGAAGTACTGGAGAAATTGTAAGGTTGTAGATGGTAAGGAGATTTGCTACTTGTTTGCAGTTTTTTGGGGGGTATCTTTGGCTGTTTTTGGGAGGAGATTTGCTACTTGTTTGCAGTTTTTGGGGGGTATCTTTGGCTGTTTTTGGTAAGGAGATTTGCTACTAGTTTGCAGTTTTTTTGGGGTTGTTGGTTGTTTTTTGGGGGGCCTCCTTGTATGGCAAAGGGTGGATCCTGATTCAAAAGAGTGGTAGATAGTGACCCACAAGACTCACCACAGTTCATTCACTTTTCTATGTTGATTCACCTCACATTTCAGGCCATTGATCTTCATTGGATGTTCCAGATAGCAATCAACCTTTGACCTTGCCACTTCTGGTCCAGTTCCTGAGTCCTTTCGGCCGTACGATCGTACGGCAGAAACGGCTTGCCCCGATTCATCACCTGTGAGTCCCGTCCAACTCTGTGGTCGATCTGCTGCAGGTGAAGCATCCTGAAACAACAACCATAATAGTGCCCTTCCTAGTGGTTTCAGATGCGTCCTAGTGGTCGACCCTTCTTAGTGGTCCCTAGGTTGTGGTCCCTGTTTGTGCTCCCCAAAAAAGTTCACTTCGCTCTCAGTGTGCGAAGTGACCGGAGAAAACTTGGACAGAAAAGGGAAGTCACGAAAGGAAGAACAAGGGCGACTGGAGATGTCATGGGTAGATGTCTTGCAAACTAAGGCGGGCTCCACGATCAATGGATCAATGGATTTGTTTAAGGATGAATCTACAGGAAACCATAGGAAACCCATGGTTTTCACCAAAACAATGGGTTTCCTGTCGATTTTCCCTTAAACTATTTCTGAGACACGATACACACACGTCACCGCAGCATTTTACCTGTGCCCACACCGCCCGGTCAAGCTCCCGAGACGGTGAAGCGGACTGCACGCTCGCGCCGCTCTCGTCTCAGGTGGAGAGGAAGTGGACTGCAGCAACGCAATCAAAGTGCTTTTAGACATTTGGGCTGAGCAACTGCCTCTTCAAAGTGACCGTTTAGGATTCAGGATCCCTCTAGCATTTATTGTTTGAAGCAACTGTTGGCTGTGACAGTGACCGATTCGGGGTGTCACGTGTGGTCACTTTGAAGAGCATGAGATTGTCTTTTGTTCTACTGTCGACCCCTTACTGAGACCAATACTGTATGGTCAGAATAGTTGTTCAATGTTGTTGGAAATCCCTCAACTTGGGGATTGTACAAATACGGGATGGTTTGTTCTGTGTGTGTGTTTTCAAAATCTACAACTATGTCAGTTGAATGTTTGTTCTTGTTTGCCAGGATCTTTCCAGTGATCGGACTTCAAGATTGATCAGTGACCTTTTGGAGACCTTTCAGTGACCTGATTCTGAGATCGTATCACTGGGAAGGTTCTGGTACTACCGTAGATGGACCACATATTCAAACCCTTCAAACCGCTTGGACCCCTTCTACCCAAAAACTCAAAGTTAGTGAGCCTGCCAGAGTCTTTCGGCGAATGGACG